TTTTTCAAAGAACCAACTTTTTGTCAAATTTTTGGATTGTTTCTTTTATTTCAATTTCTTTGCTTTCATCTCTGATTTTGATTATTTCCTGTCTTCTAATGACTTTATTGTTGATTTGTTCTTCTTTTTCCAGGGCTTTGAGATATGTCAGATCATTTATTCATTTACTTTCAATTGTTTTAATGAATGAGCTTAATGCAGTGAACTTCCTCTTAGCTGCCTTCATAGTGCTTTCAAGGTGTCTCCTGCTGTTGGAATAGCTTCTATTTTTTACTTTATCATTGATTTCTAATTTTATTCCGTTAAGATCGGATAGAATGCAGGGTAGTATCTCCGTGTTTTTGTATTTGTTAAGACTTGCTTTGTGGCATAACATTTGGTCTGTTTTGGAGAAGGACCCATGTGCTGCTGAGAAAAAAAGTGTATTCACTTGTTCAAGGATGAAATATTCTATATATGTCTGTTACGTCTAAATTATTGATTGTATTATTTAGTTCTATAGTTTCTTTGTTTGTAAAATCTATCCAATGGTTAGAGAGGTGTGTTAAGGTCACCAGTATTATTGTGTTGTGTTCTTTTTAATTCTTGAAATTGCGAAGTTTTTGTTTCATATATGTAGGTGCTTCATTGTTTGGGGCATAAATATTTACAATTGTTATGTGTTATTGATATATGATTCCCTTAAGCAGTATGAAATGTCCTTCTTTATCCCTTCTGACAAATTGGCTTTGAAGTCCACTTTATCTGATATGAGGTTGTAAACCGCTGCTTGTTTACAGAGTCCATGTGAGTTGTAGGGTTTTTCCTATCCTTTTACCTTCAGTCTGTGGATGTCTTTTCCTGTGAGATGAGTTTCTTGAAGGCAGCATATGTTGGATCTTTGTTATTCCAATATGCCCTTCTGTGTCTTTTTATTAATGTGTTTGGGCCATTAATATGCCAGGTTATTGAAATATGGCTATTATTTTCGGTCATTTTGGTTTATTTTTGGTTTTTTAACTTGTTTTCTCCTTTGATTGGCTTTTCCTTTAGTGTAGTTTATCTCTTTGCTGATTTTTATTGTTTTTTATTTCCTCTTCACAGAATATTTTACTGAGAATGTTCTGTGGTTCAGGCTTTCTCATTATGAATCCTTTCAACTTTTGTTTATCATGGAAGATTTTTATTTCATCATCAAATCTGAAGCTTAATTTTGCTGGATATAAGACTCCGATTCATATTCATTACCTTTCAGAGCTTGATATATGTTGTTCCAGGGTCTGGACTGAGAAATCTGCTGAGATCTGAATTGGTTTCCCCCGTATATGTAATCTGAAATTTTTCTCCTTATTCTGTATGCCAGGCATTTTCATTATAATGTGCCTCAGTGTGGATCTGTTGTAATTTTGTACATTTGATGTAAGCCTCTTGCATTTTATTTTCCATTTTATTCTTCGGGTTTGGGAATTTTTCTGATATTATTTTATTGAAAAGATTGTGCATTCCTTTGGTTTGTATCTCTGTGCCTGCCTCTATCCCAATACATCTTATATTTGGTCTTTTCATGTTAGCCCATAATTCTTGGAGATTCTGTTAATGGTTTCTGACCATCTTCACTGTTTGGTCAGTTTTGTTTTCAAGATTATATATTTTGTCTTCATTGTCTGATGTTCTGTCTTCCAAGTGATCTAGTCTGTTGGTGATGCTTTCTATTGAATATTTAATTTGGTTTATTGTTTACTCCATTTCAAGGATTTGTTTAGTGTTTCTTTTAGAATCTCTCTTTCTTGAAGTAATTGTTTGCTACCTGTATTTGCTCTCTTATCTCTTTATTTGAGYGATCCTTTGTTGCCTGTACTTGCTCTCTTATGTCTTTCATTAATTTGCAGATCATTTAAATTATGTACATTCTGAACTGCTTCTTTGACATTTCTTCTACTGTGCTATCAAAGGATTCTATTATTGTATCATCTTGGTTTGTTTGGGGCACGTTATTCCCTTGTCTTTTCATGTTGTCCATCTTTCTCTCCCTCTAGMAGTGGGGATCCAAGGTGTTAACAGTTTCTACCCTATAATCTTATAGTGTCCCTGCAGGTTTTCTATATCTTGCCTTTAAGGGGGAGATCAGTATCAACACCAAMCAATGCAAACATATGCAACCTTAAATCAAATAGTTCTGTTTAGATGGTTACACATTTGTTGAATTAAACAGAAGTGATGTGTTCAGTTATTATCTGCAATATAAACAGTATATTTGCAAAAGGRTCTACCATTTCTACTTGTGGGCAGAGAGAGAAGGGAGGGTGTAGGGTGTGATGTTTATGAGATAGGAGGTGAGAATATAGATGTATTACATCAAAGGAGGGGTGAGAGTGGAATCAAAAAAATTTTGCTGTTACTATAAAAGTGAAAGGCTCTCTCCTGCCTCTGCAACAAGATGGTATGTATTAGCATACCTAGCAGGGATACCTCTGGCGCAGGGGCTTTGTTGATGATCTTCCAGGTCCGGGCTGTTGTCCCTAGATGGAAGCAGCCATGTTCCCAGTTGGTAGCTGCAGTAGCGTTAAACCTGTAAGTACCTTGGTGTTGGGCTTCCAGGATCCAGCTTGTTTCCCAAGATGTATGCCTCCCCAACTAAAGATGGTTATGGTCGCAGCTCAGGTAACTCAAGATGGCGGTGAAGGTGTCCCAAGATGGAGGCTACCACTTTCATAAATGAGGCTGAAAAGACAGGCTATTCGATAGTGTTGGGCAGCCTGTTCAGGACTATAGCACTATGGCCTGTGGTGCTGTGGAAGGCAGCTGTCTCCAGACCCTATCCAGTGTCCCAAGGTGGAAGTAGGCCAGGGGAGCCACTCCTTGGTAGATAGGGAACCACTGCCGTAGTTCCCTATGGGCATGGACATTCCCTTGCAGAGGTGCAGCTCTGCAGGGCAGTCTTGGACCCTTAGTGTAGTTTAAATTTGCATTTCTATGATTGCCATGGATGTTGAACTTTTGTGTATTTGGTGGCCATTAGTGTTTCTCCCCGTGGGAAGTTTCTGATTACTTCTTTTGCCCACTTTTTGATTGGGTTATTTGTTTTTCTGATTTTTTTTTTTTTTTAGTTTTTTATATTCTGAAAATTAATCCCCTATCAGAGGTGTAGTTGGCCAAGATTTTCTCCCATTTTGTAAGGTCTCTCTTCATGCTCTTAATTGTTTCCTTTGCTTTGCACAAGTTTTTTAGCCCAATGTCATCCCATTTATTGATTCTTGGTTTTAWTTCTTGTGCTTTGGGGGAGCTGCATTTGTTTTAAACCAAGAAACCTAAAAGGAATTAAGTACTTATTTGATGATTAATTATCATTGCATTGTCAGACTTAATCATCAGATTTTATGACATTTTTGTCATTTGTTATGTTTATAGTACTCTTGTATTGCAGCCCTCATTGTCCTCATTTTTTGTTGTTTTTTTCCTCCTTTTTGTAAAAGAGAATGACCTTCACTTTTTTATTAGAGATTTTAGCTGTCTTTACTTAATGATTCTCATCTAGATTTGGTCATAATCATTGTGTACATACTACCACTTGTTTAATTTTTTTGTTTGCACTTGTTTCTTACTTGGGATAAAACAACATTTTGCTTCATCATAAATTATTTATATCTCCAGGAAAATTTTGATTCAAATATTTTTTTCTTAGGTGAATCAGTATTTTGTTATTCTTACTAAAGTTTATTCAGATATGTTATTTCCAAGTATTTCTTACTTATGAATCCCTTGAATTTATGGTCATTATTTGAACATTATTATATTGAATGAAGAGAATTGCTATTACAGAGATTAGTAATTCAAGTTTACTGAAGGAATGTTAAAAATCCTTTGATATTTTTACTTGGATGTAGAATTTTATAGGTGTAAAACTTGTAATATAAATTTAAGTTTCAATTTTTCATTTTTTCAGTGGAGATTGTTTACATTCAAGATTAATAAGTGAAGTACATGCATTTTTGTGTTTTTCAGTGTCAGAGTTCGATCAGCTGCTGTTACCTGTTTGAAAAACATTTTAGCTACAAAGACTGGACATCGTTTCTGGGAGATTTATAAGACGAGAGCAGATCCCTTGCTCACCTATCTGCAGCCTTTTAGAACATCAAGAAAAAAGGTCTCTGAAGTAATAAATTTTTATTGAATATCCACTATGTTTAGAGTATTAGTATTTTATTTGAATTATGCATGTCAACTTTCTTAAAATAGTAATATAGTATATATTTCTTAAAATAGTAATATATTTCCTAGAATTAATTTAAACTGTACTTTTTGAGTCTAAGGGATTTGTCATTCTTTTTTATGACAGTGTGAGAAAACTGATATAGATAACCTAGGCATGTAATGGTTGAGTTGGGGATAGGGGAAATTATGAGTGACGTGCCTTTTTGTCTTAGCAATAGAAAACCTTTTTATTCCATAAACACTATTCATTCTCGAAAGCAAGCATTTATTTCCATAGGAAGTTAACATATCACAATCCCTAGTAGAATATAAGATAACCTCATAATCTTATAATAATAATATAATAAATTAATAATTTTAATCTCCCTTTTCCCCTGTTGATATCATTACAAGGTTCTACCAAAAACACTCTGAAGGATATTTAAGAATCCTAAACGTTTCTTGTTTCTTTTTTTAAAAGTGATTCAGGAATATACAGTTGAATTTCTGCCAATTAAATTTTAGGGCATATACCCATCATTAAAGTAGTACTTTTAATGATTCATAATTTTGGTCATAGTAAAATTTACTACTAATAATAAGGCTTAATTAATGAAACTAGTGAAACAATCTGTAAAGCACTGTAATTTTTTATTTTGGGTGAGTTTTTTTACAAGACTTGACATTGAGCCTTGGAGCAGGCAACCACTGAGCTACATCCCCAGCCCTTTTAATTTTTTGAGACAGGGACTCATTAAGTTTCTCAAGTTGTCCTCATCACTGTTTATAGCAGCACAATTTACAGTAATGAAGCTATGGAAACAACCTAGGTGTTCTTCAGCCCATGAGTGGATAAAGAAAGAAATATATTTTATGTGATGGTAAATGGATGGATCTGGAGATTATCAGGCTAAGTGAAATAAGCCAATCCCCCAAAACTTAAAGGTTGAGTGTTTGCTCTGAAATGTAGAGGCTAACCCAAAATACGGGGGCTCTGTAGGTGTGGGGACAAAGAGAAAGGGGAGTGGGAATCTCTCAAAATAGATGAATGGGGCTGGAGTTGTAGCTCAGTGGTAGAGCACTTGCCTAGCATGTGTGAGGCACTGGGTTCGATTCTCAGCACTGCATATAAATAAATAAACAAACAAATAATAAAGCTCTATCAACACTAAAAATATATTTACAAAAAAAGAGAGGAGATAAGTAGAGTAAATAAGGGAATTAAAGGGGAGGAATGAAGGATGGGAAAAGGGAAGAATATTGGAATGAATCTGTCTGAACAATTGTATGTTCATACACGAATATAGCACAATGAATCCCAACATCAAATATATCTACAAGATACCAGTTTTTAAAAACTATAAAATTTGGGCTGAGGCTGTAGTTCAGTGGCAGAGCACTTGCCTAGCATGCATGAGGTACTGGGTTTGATCCTCAGCACCCCATAAAAATAAATAAATAAATAAATAAATTAAAGGCATGCTGTCCATCTACAACTACAAAAAATAAAAATAAAAAACTATTAAATTTCAGAAAAATCAGTAGAGTAGAAAGGGAGGAGAAGAGGGAGAGAAAAGGAGTTTCTGGGACTGAATTAGAGCAAATTACATTCCATGTCTTTGTGATTATGTCAAAATGTATCCTAACATTTTATGTAACTTAAAAGAATCAATTAAAAGTTTTTTTATAAAGAATAGCAGAAAAGTTCCTGTTCCCCTAAAGCATGTTGGTTTGTAGTAGAAAGCAGCACATCTGCCCTGAACAGACAGCAACAGGAATGAAGACAACTCAGAGAATACTTTGTGAACTGTTGACAAAGTTAAATAGAAAAATGATTTTGAAAAATCTCATTTTATTTGAAATCAACTTTAAAGGGTAGAGTTGGACCGGCTTTTGTACATGAGACAGATGAAGCAGAAAATTGGTGATATATATAAGATATGCTGATAGTGATAGCTGACTTGTAGAACCCATATTTTTCCTGCTGCCTAGACCAGTCATTTTTCACCATTCCACTCTTCCTCTCATATAAATTCATTTTAATTTAAGAAGGTAACTATTGCCTCTGGATTTAGTTTTAAGTATATTTAGTTTTATTTGGAAACATATTTATATCTAGATAGTCATTTTACACAGGAAAGGTAAAATAATTTTCTGATTCTCTTATTTATACTTTGTGATCCAGTTTTTAGAAGTACCCAGTCTTGATAAAGAAAACCCTTTTGAACGCCTGGATGATTCAAGTCTTTGGATTCCTCAAAGTGAAAATCATGACATTTGGATAAAGACATTGACTTGTGCTTTTTTGGACAGTGGAGGCTCAAAAAGTGAAGTTCTTCAATTATTAAAGCCAATGTGTGAAGTAAGAAGATTAATTAATCTAATGGAATTCCTTTGTTTTTTCTTTGCTTTTTCTCATTCTCCTTGACTTCTATGTACACAATCATGGCTGTGCAGCTAAGAGAGTATTCTGTCTGGTATTGCATATCATCTCCAATTGTCTTCATGCAGTATCACCCACATTTAATTGCTGTAAATTGATTAAATTAGGCATCTTTGGTCCTAACACTACAGTAAATTTCAGGTTTTCAGTGACAACACAGTAGATGAGTTCTAAAAGGTGCCCTAAGCAATTTGTTACTAATTATAATTTAAATGTTAATGATGGTAATTTATTTATATTAACCAAAAGTCAACTCTTAACTTTATTTCTGTTAAAATCGGTGTCATTTACTCTCTCTAATATGCTTTCTTGAGTGAATGAAGGGTAAGGACAATCGTTAGAATTGCTTTTTTTTTTTTCTGTTTTTCAATTCATTATAGTAAAGAGTACACTTATGTACCACATCAACAGCAAGTTCATAGTCTCCATAGGGCTGAGGATGTGTGGTAGAGTCTGTGATTGACATGTGCAAGGTCCTCGTTTCAATCCCTAACACCAAAATAATTTTTTAAAAGAGGTTTTTTTGTTTGTTTTGGGTGCTGGGCATTGAATCCAGGGTCACTTTTCCACTGAACTACATTACCATCCCTTTTTATTTTATATTTTGAGATGTAGTCTTGTTGAGTTCCTCAGCTGGCCTCAAACTTGTGATCCTCCTGCCTAAGCCTCTTGAGTTGCAGGAATTAGAGGCATGCTCACCACACTCGGCTTTTACAGAATTTTAAAATCAAATACGTAATTCAAAACACAGTAATGACTGTAAGACCTAGAGGTTAACTCAACTTATAGTACTATCAAACAYGATTTAACAGAAATATGAGAACAAATTATCTGGCGAAGATAAGTATTTACCAATTAAAATTTATTAGTAGAGGAATCATTTGGTAAAGCACCTATGTTGAAAGAAGTGTAAAAACAGTCCTTTTTTGGGTGCCGTGRCACATGCCCATAATCCCAGCAGCTCAGGAGGCTGAGATAGGAGAATTGAGAGTTCAGAGCCCGCCTCAGCAAAAGTGAGGTGCTAAGCAACTCAATGAGACCCTGTCTCTAAATAAAATACAAAATAGGGCTGGGGATGTGGCTAAGTGGTGGAGTGCCCCTGGGTTCAATCCCCCCCAAAAATAAATAAATAAAAAAGCAGTTCTTATTTTCTACTGAGAAAATAGTGAATAAATCATCACCTTTTCTGTAATACTACAGTATACTCAGAACAGTTCATCAGAGTGGTAACCATGGCATGCATACAACTTTTTTCTCATTAGTAAACAAAACTAAGATTTTTATGACATTTTGACTTTGAGCCAAGACACGAACTAATTCCTACTACCTTAAACTAATTCCTACTACCTTAAATTGGCTTTTGGAGTTGTCTTTACTTAAAAGGGAAAAAGTGTATCATTGGTAATCTACAATGTGTCTTTTATGTGGAATTGATTTTTTAATTAATTATTTTATTTATGTATGACAGTGGAATGCATTACAATTCTTTTTTTTTTTTTTTAATAAAGAAAAGTGTTCAGATTTATTTGGAAATTCACAGTTTCTAATGGCACCACAGCTCTGTAGTTACAAACTGAAAGTCCTCTTTCCACAACAGATGGTGTGACTTCCCATTCTGCCTCTGTTCTCATCTGGACCTTTTTTCAAGAGCTCCTATACAATCTGGTCCTCTTGCTCTGAATGGCTAATTGTGCAGACTGAACAAAAACAATTTAATCTCCTAAAACATACTGTTAACCTAAAGCAGCAACTTAAAGAAACAAAAAAGGCTTTAAATAAGTCACATTACAAACAATACCCCAAGATAGATATCAAACAAGTTTAAAAACAATTATTACTAACAGTGCTCAATAAGTTATAACTTAAATCTCACAACACAAAAGGTCAATTCTCTCCCTTTTAAAAAGAAACGTGTTCCACTTTCACTCGTTACTATACAGGAACACACTGTGAAATCACTTTATTCAAATATAGTCACTGCCAAATATTTTTTAAAAGAAAAAAACACAAATGAAGACAAACATTGACGTAACACATACATATCTCTGTACTTCTGGTCAATACAAAGAAAATATCAAGGAATCACAATACCCCAGACTTGACCAGCCAGACCTGTGGGACAAACCCACTGGCAGCTCTGTGTGGGTGCATGGGTGTGTGCACAGTGACCATGTCTTAATGCACTTGAATTCAGCTGCCAAATCTGCAGTTTATTATATATTTGTACAAATGGAAAACAGTGATGTGAAAGTTTGGAAGATTAATGTTATTGTAATATATCTAATGAAATGTTCACAAGTAGCTGTGTTTAAAAGCAAATTTATAAAAAAATTTGCAAATACTAGTCATTTGCATGAAAAGAACTTGTTGCTTCCCCCCCCATTGAGTTAGTAACTGTGGAAAAAGTAATCCAGCCCAAATAAGATAAATGAAAATAACGTCAAGAGCATCACTATTTACCTAAAAGAACAGACTTAAAAGTTCCAGCAAGTGTTTATTTCCAGTGAGTTTGCACAACAGACCTAGCTGGCAAGTCTTTAGGCTCTTCACACTGTCTGACCCACACTGCTGAGCTTCAGGCACAGACCACCCCAAAATCTTGTAGTGTTTGCAGCTTCAAAGACCTAAAAAGTTGTAAAAGAAATCAAATGACTGAAAAAGTTCTCCCTCCTCTTCCAGTGGCATTATAAATAGACAAAAGGCACATAAATAGGGGAAGGTGCAAGATACAATTCTTATTACACATATACAGCACAATTTTTCATATCTCTGTTTGTATACAAAGTATATTCACACCAATTCGTGTCTTCACACATGTACTTTGGATAATAACGTCCATCACACTCCACCATCATTTCTAACCTTGTACCTCCTCCCTTCCCCTCCCACCCCTCTGCCCTATCTAGAGTTTATCTATTCCATTTKTTGAGCCAACTTTGCATCCCTGGGATGAATCCCACTTGATCGTGGTGCATGATCTTTTTGATATGTTTTTGTATTCGATTTGTCAGAATTTTATTGAGAACTTTTGCATCTATGTTAATTAGAGATATTGGTCTGAAGTTTTCTTTTTTTGATGTATCTTTGCCTAATTTTGGAATCACGGTGATATTGGCCTCATAGAATGAGTTTGGAAGTACCACCTCTTTTTCTATTTCAATTGAAGAGTATTGGTATTAGTTCTTCTTTAAAAGTCTCGTAGAACTCGGCTGTGTATCAGTCCGGACCTGGGCTTTTCTTGGTTGGTAGACTTCTGATGGCATCTTCTATTTCATCGCTTGAAATTGATCTGTTTAGATTGTGTATATGATCCTGATTCAATTTGGGAAAATCATATGACTCTAAAAATTTGTCGATGCCTTCAATATTTTCTATTTCATTTGAATACAAGTTTTCTAAGTAATTTCTAATTATCTTCTGTAGTGTCTGTTGTGATATTTCCTTTTTCATCATGTATGTTAGTAACTTGAGTTTTCTCCTTCTCTTTGTTAGCATGGCTGAGGGTCTGTCAATTTTATTTATTTTTTCAAAGAATCTTTTGTTCTGCCAATTTTTTCAATTGTTTCTTTTGTTTCAGTGTCATTGATTTCAGTTCTGATTTTAATTATTTTCTGCTTTTGGTGTAATTTGTTCTTTTTCTAGGGCTTTGAGATGTAATTCATTTATTTGTTGACTTTTTCTTCTTTTAAGGAATGAACTCCATGCAATGAACTTTCCTCTTAGAACTATTTTCATAGTGTCCCAGAGATTTCTRTATGTTGTATCTGTGTTCTCATTCACCTCTAAACATTTTTTAATCTCCTCCTTGATGTCTTCTGCAATCCATTGTTCATTCAATAGCATATTATTTAGTCTCCAGGTGTTGGAATAGCTTTTATTTCTTATTTTGTCATTGATTTCTGATTTCATTCCATTATGATCTGATAGAATGYAGGGTAGTATCTCTACTTTTTTATATTTACTAAGAGTTGCTTTGTGGCATAATATGTGGTCTATTTTAGAATAGGATCCATGTGCTGCTGAGTAGAAAGTCTATTCTCTCGTGGAAGGATGAAATATTCTATATGTGTCAGTTAAGTCTTAAGTTATTGATTCTATTATTGAGGTCTAGTTTTTTTGTTCAGTTTTTGTTTGGAAGATCTATCTAGTGATGAAAGATCTATCTAGTGTATTAAAGTCACCCAAAATTATTGTGTTGTAGTCTATTTTGACTCTTAAACTTGAGAAGAGTTTGTTTAATGAACATAGATGCTCCATTGTTTAGGGCATATATATTTATAATTGTTAAGTCTTGTTGGTTTATGGTTCCCTTGAGCAGTATGTAGTGTCCTTCTGTATTCTTTTTGATTSACTTTAGTTTTAAGTCTACTTTATTTGTTATGAGGATGGAAACCCTGCTTGCTTCCACAGCCCATGTGAGTGGTATGATTTTTCCCAATCCTTCACCTTCGGTCTTTGGATGTCTTTTCCTATGAAATGAGTCTCTTGGAGGCAGCATATTGTTGTGTCTTTTGATTGGTGAGTTTAGGCCATTAACACTCAGGGTTATTATTGAGACATGATCTGTATTCCCAGCCATTTTTGTTTATTTTTGGTATTTAATGTGACTTGGTGTCTCCTCTGATTATATTTTCCTTTAGTGTAATACCTCCCTCTGCTGATTTTCGTCTTTTTTTTTTTTTCATTTCCTCCTCTTGGAATATTTTGCTGAGGATGTTCTATAGTGCAGGCTGTCTAGTTGTAAATTTTTAACTTTTGTTTATCATGGAAAGTTTTTATTTCATCATCAAATCTAAAGCTTAGTTTTGCTGGATATAAGATTCTTGATTGGCATCTATTTTCTTTCAGAGCTTGGTATATGTTGTTCCATGATTTCCTGGCTTTGAGGGTCTGGGTTGAAAAATCTGCTGAGATGCTAATTGGTCTTCCCCTATATATGATCTGATTCCTCTCTCTCGCAGCTTTTAAGATTTTATCTTTATTCTGTCTGCTAGGTATTTTCATTATAATGTGCTTGGTGTAGATCTGTTGTAATTTTGTACATTTGGTGTTCTGTAAGCCTCTTGTATTTGGTTTTCCAGTTTATTTTTCATGCTTGGGAAATATTCTGCTATTATCTCATTAAAGAGATTGTACATAGTTTTGGTTTGAAACTCTGTACCTTCCTCTATCCCAATAACTCTTAGATTTGGTCTTTTGATACTGTCTCATAATTCTTGGATGTTCTCTTCATGGTTTCTTACTGTCTTCACTGTGTGATCAACTTTATTTTCCAGATTGTATACTTTTTCTTCATTATCTGATGTTTTTTCTTCCAAGTGATCTAGTCTGTTAGTTATGTTTTCTATTGAATTTTTTATTTGGTTTATTGTATCCTTCATTTCAAGGATTTGTGAATTTTTTTTCAGTCTGTATCTCTTTCTTGACGTAATCTTTTGCTACCTGTATTTGCTCTCTTATCTCTTTGTTGGAGTGATAATTTTTGCCTGTATTTGCTCATTTAGGTCATTCTTTAATTCACAGATTATTTTAACTATGAGCCTTCTGAACTCTTTCTCTGACATTTCATCAACTTTGCTGTCCATGGGTTCTGTTATTACAGTATCCTGGTTTGTTTGGGGCACTTTCTTCCCTTGTTTTTTCATGTTGTCCATGTGTCTTCCTTTCTTGCAGCATGGGTCTGAGATATTACAGTTTCTTCCCTATATTCTTGTAGTATCTGTGCAGATTGTACCTCACCTTGATGTTGGGCTTCCCAGACCCTGCTGGTGTCCCTCAATGTATGCTACTGCAACTAAAGGTGGTGGCTGCAATAGCCAAGGTAACTTGAAATAATAGTTGAGGTGCCCCAAGACGGAAGCAATGTCACAGAGATGGGGCTGAAAGGGTGGGCCTCACACTCTCTTTGGGATATCTGCTCTGAGATGCAGCTGCTTCTAGGCCCTGTCATCAAAAAGTTAGGGGCTACTGTGTGGGGAAGGCTATGGCGATGACTATAGTGTCCCAACATGAAAATGGGTTAGGCTTAGGCTCCCAGGTGGTGATGGTGGTGGGGGGCGAAGTTGGACCTACCCCGGACCTGGGTCCTGCACAAGTCATTGTGGGCCTGGGATCCTGTGGTAGTCTGCTGGTCGGAAGGGGTGGTCCTGTGCCAGAGGCTGGGCTCCAGTGGGTGCCTTCCGGTGGAGAGACGGACCCAAGACTCCTGTGGGCCTGGGTCCTGCGCAGACCTGTGTGGGTGGATCTGGGCCGTCGGGCTTGACCTGGAATGTGATTAATAATAATAGCCGTTGAGTGTGGTGATTTATCTATATGATGTATGTGGAATGTGATGAATGCCAAAATAAAGGTTGGACACTTGTTTAATGTGCCACACACATTAAAGCACTTTGCTGCATTCAGAAGTATATCACAAATACACAAATTTTATACCTAGAAATTGGGGTTTATTACAAATAAAAATTTATAGTATGACATGCTCTTCACTGAGTATAGAAAAATGCACAAAAATCATATTTTCAGCTTTTCTCTTGAAATTTTCATGCTTTTTCCCTCTTATATCAGAGAACTGCTTGTGTTATTAATAACACTTTTCAACTCTGAAATTACACTTAAAAAGTCATAATTTTGCTTATAAATTAATCCTCTTTCACTAATCTTCTGATCATGCTAATAGCCTAGACTAGAAATGAACAGTTGCAGTGTAACTAACATATGTTTGATATAGATATACTAGCTTAGTACTTTTAACACCACCTGGTCCATGTTTTTTATATTTTAATAACATGCTGAGTGCATTTAATATTTTGTAATGTATCCTTCCAGTATCTGAGTTAATGGTAGATTATCTTTCTAAAAATTTTTATAAGTCAGCAACAAGGAATGGAAATATTAAGTAGTATGCTTCTTACTCAAAGTATTGAGTTGATGTTTTGTATGTTCTAGGTAAAAACTGACTTTTGTCAGATCGTGCTTCCTTGCTTGATTCATGATATTTTACTTCAAGACACAAATGAATCATGGAAAATTCTGCTTTCTACACATGTTCAAGCATTTTTCACCAACTCTTTCAGAAACCTCTCACAAACAAGTCGATCCACAACTCCTGCAAATTTGGATTCAGGTATTATGCTAACTTATTAACGTTTGTACTATTAACTCTCAGCTCTAAAGAAAGATAGATTTATGGTTAAATAGCCTCAGATACTTTCTGGCTTCTTCCATAACTCTAAATTTGTTTCCTTAACTAGAGAATGGAGATAAAAGGTGTACAAATTTTCAACAAAACAATCTTTGTAAAGCACCCAGAATAATTCTTAATAATTAGTACTCCTTCTGTACATTTTAGATGTTAATAATGGGGCAAATAATTAAACAATTGAGTGTGTCAGGTAACGTGCTTATCCCTGGCAGTACAGATGTAAACAAGATGCTCCCTGTCCATTCTAGCAGTGGAAAAAGCACAAAAATGATCAAATATTTAGATATTATAGTAGAGATATGATGGAATTTTCAGCTGTGGCCAACTGGATTTTAAAAAGTAGCCTTATTATAAAATCATACATATTTACTATGGAAAATTTTTTAAAAAGTACTTATTCTGTAATTTAAGATAAAATACATTTAAGATTTTGTAATGTATCCTTCCAGTATCTTAAAGCAGAACTTTTGTTTTATTTACTCTTATTATTTTATTACGCTTATTCCTTTCATGTTATGAAATGAGTATATCTGATGTTAAGAACTTAATAGTGGAAGAAATTCTGCTCGGGTTTGGGTATATGTAACACAAATATGCATAACTGAGGGATCATCATGAGTCAGTTTTTCAAACCTAAATTTTAAGAATGATAGAAAATTATAGATTTCCACTGTTAACTTCTATCTTTCATATGTACTATCAGTGTATTTTATGAGTAAACATAAAATTAGTCACATACTTAAATTTATACTAAAAGACCCATATACTTCTAATAAAAATAGATTTAATTAACTATCTTATGGCAACTAAATGGCTTTTCCCAACCTTACTGCTGGTCCTATACTTCAGTACAGGTTGTGATTACTCAGTTCTCTATTTTTCTATTTCTGTTTCTGTAGTCTTCATTTGACATGGCTCTGATGTCATTTAGACTCCATTTTGCTATGCTTTATCTTTTACGTAAATTCTTTTCAATTGACTAATAACAATTACAAATCTATTTTGATGGAACTGGAAGTCATTATGTTAAGTAAAATAAGTCAGGCTCAGACAATTACTGCATGATCTCACTTATATGTGCAATCTAAACAAGCAGATCTTACAGAAGTTAAGAGTAGAATGGTGGTTACTAGAAGCTGGGCTGAGGGCTGGGGATGTGGCTCAAGCGGTGGCGCGCTCGCCTGGCGTGCATGCGGCCCGGGTTCGATCCTCAGCACCACATACCAACAAAGATGTTGTGTCCACCGAGAATTAAAAAATAAATATTAAAAAGAAAATTCTCTCTCACTCTCTCTCTCCTCTCTCACTCTCTCTTTAAAAAAAAAAAAAAAAAAAAAGAAGCTGGGCTGAGTCAGGGGAGGGAGAGGTGGCGAAAAATGTGGATGCTAAGATAGAGTTAGAAATGAGAAGTTCTGGTGTTCTACAACATAGATGACTATAGATAATATACTATATATTGCTTTTAAAAGCTAGAGGAACGAAATGTTTTCACCATAAAGAAATGGTAAATATTCGATATGTAAATGATAAATGTTTACTTTGATTAAACATCATACAATGTCTTCACGTATTAAAACATCAAATTATATCTCATAAATAGGTATAGTTTTTTTAAAATATTTTTGTTTTAGTTGTAGATGGACACAATACCTTTATTTTATTTATTTATTTTTAATATGGTGCTGAGAATTAAACCCAGTGCCTCACACGTGCTAGGCAAGTATTCTACCATTGAGACACAACCCCAGTTCCAAATAGGTACAATTTTATATTTCAGTTATAAACAAAAATAAATCTTTTTGGAAAAATATAATGAACACAGACACAGTTACCCATCCTGTGGCTCTAAATTATTCTTCACAATAAAATAGAATATTTTATTTACTTGAATTTTCTTAGGGTTGTCAAAATGAAAATCCTAAAATAAAACTCTTATTCAAGTCTTTATAAGCAATCTATCTCCTATATTTAGTTGAGGGAATACAGATATAAGTGATCTACAGTCAAGAATAAGCCATTGGAAGTTTAAATATTAGGTAATTAAAAGTACTATTAGAACAACTTTATTACATAGTTTAACTTACGCTACAACTGTTCAAAAGTAAAATCATCTAGTTTTATCTGTATAGTGTCAATATTTTTATTTAAATAAAAATTTAAACACCACATATAAAATTCTGTTATTGAGAGGGAAAGTAAATGTAGATTGCTATAAAGTTTAAATTGTTACTCTTTCTGAAGTCTCTCTCATCCCTTCACCTCCTATGCACATCTCAAAGTCAACTGTCCAAAGATAATATTTGCATCTTACTCATCCCCTTTGCCTGTCTTCTTTTTTGTGTGTACCACTTCATTGAGTGACACTTGGTTTTCCAGGCCAGAAACCTCTTAACATATCTCTCATCTTATTACCAAATCCTGCCTATTCTTCATTGTAATAACTTTACTCTATTTGTGTCCCTCTGTCACTGTCAGTCCTTATTGTTTTCTATCCTGTGGTTTAGCACAGTTGAAATTCTTTCATAAATTCTCCAGATTGTTTCCTGCTTTCAGCCATCTCAGATACTGTTAAATATTCCTTGGTACATTGTCCTTTCCTTTTGTCCCAGAGAACCATTACTTTTATTTCACATTTCACTTTCATATAGTTTTTTTTTAAGACTTTAACCTTCATTTTATTTGTTTGTGTTGTTTATTTGTTTTTATGTTGTGCTGAGGATCGAACCTAAGGCCTCACCCATGCTAGGCAAGCGTTCTACCACTGAGTTACAACCCCAGCCCTCACGTTTCACTTTTGTGTGACACTTCCCTTGTTCAGGTGAGCTTCCCTGATACAGGTCTCTGCAGCATTCTAAACTTTCCCTCAAACCATTTCTCATGCTGTGTTGAGAGTATCCAGCCTAGTCTGTGAGTTCTGTGTAGTCAAAAATAGTCCATCTTGTCAATCTACCTACGTAACAGTCATCTGATATTTGACAAAGGTGCCAAAAATATATTTTGGAGAAAAGACAGCCTTTTTAACAAATGATGCTGAGAAAACTACATAGCTTTTTTTAGAAAAATGAAACTAGACCCCTGTATCTCACCCTGTACAAAACTTAAATTGAAATGTATCAAAGATTTAGGAATTATACCAGGAACTGTACAACAGCTAGAAGAAAACATAGGGTCAACACTCCATCATAAAGGGGCTGGCACCGACTTCCTTAACAAGGGGAGAGAAAGGGGAATCATGAACCAAATTCAAATTCCATGCACAGATGAATTTCTCAGGATGAGCCCAACTACTGTGTATAGTGGTAAAGCTCCAATAAGAAAAAAATAGTCTATCTTGTTCATTGTTGTATACTGAACACCTAGCTTACAAAAGCTTTTGATTTTATTGAGGCTGTGAATTAGTACTTCTTCAAAGATAAAATGTAAATCGCAATGTAAGATCTCAGTTATATAAACATATTGGTTTTTTTAAAATAAAAATGCCATTAAATCTATTTATTTGTTCATATTTATTAAGAACGAATTTTGTATTAGGTATTGTCCAACAGAATCTTGCTGTATAAAGTGAGACAAACACAGACAAGAACCAAGTGCCTTGGGAGATCTTTCTGGGTCTGAGAAGAGATTTCTTTCTTTCTTTCTTAGAGTCAGAACCATTTTTCCGAAGCTCTTTGGATAAAAAATCACAAAGAACAATGCTTGCTGTTGTAGACTACATGAGAAGACAGAAGAGGTAATGTAATGAATGTTGCTTCTTRAGTTTGGGGATTTAGAAATCTAATTTTTTACTGTAGGCCAAATTTTGACCTGATGATTTTAGGTGAAGCTGTTGCGGAATGTTATATTTAATTGGTGTGATGGTTACATTTCCTTGTAATAATCCATATTCAAGATGGTACTTTGGTTAAATCCGTGTCAGAAGCTCAGTTCTAGTCCCAGCAGTATGAGTAATGGTGTTATCTTTGCTAAATCCTGCAGCCTTTAGGAGCTTCAGTTTCATCTACAGAGCTAAGAGAAAGGAGCAAGTGATTTTACCAGGTTAATTACGTTGCCCACTTTATTTATTTATTTCACCAGTTCTGAGGATTGAATCTAGGGGTGCTCTACCTTGGAACTATATCCCCAGCCCTTTTTATTTTTTGAGACAGTGTCTCACTCAGTTGCCCAGACTGACCTTGAACTGTGATGTCCTGCCTCAGTGTCTTGAGTAGCTGGTATTACAGGTGTGCACTAACCATGCTGTGACCCTTCTAACTTTCCCCATTGCTTTTTAGAAGTAGCTAGAGTTGTATGAATATGTCTTATATATCTATCACAAGATATAGTATATGCCATAATCATCAATATCTGTAGTCACACTCTGGTAGAACAATGTTTATTTTCCTGGTAGGGGCAAATTTTATAATATTACAAGGATCTTTTTTCCTGTTATTTATCATGAGGGATGTGTGTATGTGTGTGTTTGTGTTCATGCATGGCATTGTGGTTTGAACCCAGTGGTGCTCTTCCACTGAGGTGCACCCTCAGCCCTTTTTATTTTTATTTTGAGCCAGGGTCTTGCTGAGTTACCCAGATTGATCTTGAACTTGGCAGTCCTCCTGCCTCAGCCTCCCAAGTTGCTGGGATTACACTCATGTGCTGCCACATTTGGCTTCATGAGATTTTAAATGGAGTATAACAATAGCTAGGGTTGACTAAAACTCTGAAGAAATAATACAGTGAGTCTATACAAATGCCCCTAACTTTGAATGGTTCATTTTATGATTTTTCAATTTGACARTGGTATGAAAGTAGTAGCATTCAGAAGAAACCATACTTTGAATTTTGATCTTATTCTAGGCTAACAGAATAACATGTAGCATGATCCTCTTGTGATGCTGTCATGATGGTGACAGCCATGCAATCACAAAGGTGAACCACTGATACTCCACAGTGTGCTGTGTTGTTAAGCTATGATGTTCAGTAGGTTGGCTGAATTAAATGCATTTTTTTACTTAACAAGATTTTCAAATTATGATGGGTTTATCAAAGTATAACTATTRTAAGTTAAGGAGAGTCTATAATTTGAATATGTGGGATTTGATGTCTCATGCTTATGTATGGTGATAGTGACAGGTTGGTAAGGAGTGGGGTGTRTGTGTGTGAAAGAATAGAAGGATTTTTAAAACAAAATGCATTTACATCTTAAAAAAGAATTCCTTTGTATTTCCTTTATACCATTTCATTCTACTCATAGAAAAAGAATTTTTTTTTTGGCTTTTGGTGGTCTTCAATTCTGATAAGAAAGTGACTGATTTATTTTATTGATTTGTACCAGATCCTTTTTTGAGAAGATTCATTTAAAGCTTTAACTGTAGGTAGGAGCATCTTGGTGTTGGAAGGCAGTTTTTCACCTTCAAGTCATTCGTTTCAGATTTATTTACATTAAATGGTGTTGATGTTGGCAGGACTTGAGAAGATAAAATTTCTTCCTTAGTTGACACATGGCCATTGTACAAGATAAATATTCTTAATATTCAGTTCCATTTTTCAATAAGACCTGTAGAAATGATTGTTTAAAAATGTTAATGGGACATATTAAAAAAAAATAAGGACCTTAGCTCAAGTTGAAGTCTGATACTTATATAAACTTTGTGATCTGGACAAATTATTTGGTGTCTTTGAAGTTGTTTTATTGTCTTTAAAATCAGGCTAATGTCTACCTTGAGGGAGCGGTTTGGTTTGTGGTAATTAAAATAGATGAAGTATGTAACATATCTGACATTAAAAAATGCTAGCAGCTTTCTTTCCATGGGCAGATTATTTGACTTCTGATATTTCTATCAGCTACAGTTAAGGACTTGTTGTGTAGAAGGCACTTTATTCATCGGTTTTACAAGTGTTATAAAATCACTGCAACTGTTCTTTGATGTATGTTTTTCTGGGATTTATAAATGAGGAAAATAGGAAACTGAGGCTGAAGAGTTAAGTTGCTGAAGATCATACAGCTAGTACTGGGTGCTGTAGCTTGCTTTGCGCCTAACTCTGTGCTCCTCCAAAGCCAGTGCTCTTAACCACTACTTTGTCATTTCTCTGATAGTTTTGAAACAGATACTATTCTGTAGTCCAGTTCTCATCTGCTATTACCACAATGAGAGATTTTTATTAAATAACTCACCTTATGCAGTAAACTAAAGAGAAAATGACTGCAATAGGAAAGACATGTAGTTGTGTCTTAAAAGAGAATAGTTTCATTAAATTAAAAGATATATCTCTGTGTGCGCACATGCGCACATGTGCGTTACCAGCTGTTCTATGTAGCCTATTCTTAGGTAATGGTGCGTGAAGTTTTTGATGTAGGGAAGGCATGAAGCTCAGATTTATATGGGATGATGRGTCATAGCTTTCAGCATATTCTCTAAGGGGTTTGTGATCCAAAAAAGATTAAGAAACTAGACTCTCCAACCATGCCATCTTAGAATGTTTATAGCTATAAGGGAAATATGGTTTTCAGTTATTTGAATGTAATTTTCTGTTTAACTTGCAGCTGTTCCCAATGTGTTACACTATATCATGGTGTTTTTCTTTTAGTGTTGAAGTTTTAAAAATGGAATGATATTATGGTTAATTTTTCTTTAGACCCTCGGCAGGAACAGTTTTTGATGATGCTTTCTGGCTGGATTTGAATTATCTGGAGGTTGCTAAAGTAGCTCAGTCTTGTGCTGCTCACTTTACAGCATTGCTCTATGCAGAAATCTATGCAGATAAGAAGAACATGAATGATCAAGAGAAAAGGTAATGGAATTTATAAGTTTTGCGTTTTAAAATTGATGTTGACATTGTTTAAATAAAGATACATAGTAAAAATTATTTTGGTGCCTCTCATTTAAAAGACATTTTAGGTAGAAATTTGTTTTAAAGTAAAATAATAATAAAAATTTAAAAAGAAGTAATTCCACTCTGAGATAAATACAAATGTTTTATTATATATTACAAAAATTATATAGATAGCAAGCTTCTGGAGGACAGAGACCATATTTATTTTCTTTGTATTTCTCTCAATAGCATTGAGAATTTAATATAAATGATCAATAAATATTTTTCAAATGATTGAATTAATCCCTAATTTCATTATTGTTATATTTACCACTAATTCCTTAACTATTCAGTATCTATTTTTCTTTTGACCATAAAGTAATGTGACTTTTTTCTGTGACCAAAGAAATTTTATTTCTGTGTTATCTGTCTGTATTTCTGCTTACTTTGATTTATGAAAACTATCATGAGAATATCAAAAATACAATCCTAGATCATGGTGAAAAAGCCAATAAAGTAGGAAGAGTAAAAAAAAAAAATACATGCTTTATTATCCCAACTGTTCACCTCAAATCTTTGTTTATTTGAAATAGCCTAGAGTTTACTTTTATGTTTAGCCTCACCTTATCACCACTCAGTCAGCCATATTAAGAAATGAAAATAGCAAAAATGTGTTGTGTTGACACAGTTATCATTCTTGTTACCAGTAATTTTTATTTTAGATTGTCAGTGAAGTAGTGTGCTTTTTACACTATGGAAAACCAGGAACCAGAATTCAAATTCTAGTTCAAATGTAATTAATTTACTAGATGTGGACCAATTTCTTAACTTGTGGTTTGATGTTTAATTTAAGCTTTTTAGTTGAAAACACACAATATGTGGACACTGTATACTATGTAATAGATATGTTCATGATCAGTATAAACTTCTTATGAAGACAGGTATATTGTCCTTTAAATAGGTAGTGAGAAAGAAATTAATTACTATCTAAGAGTATTACCATTTTAGTCAGAGCCTGCATACTTGGTATTAGTAATTGCAATTTGGATGTGTTTTAGTTTCTTAATCCTACAGAATAGTATTTCTTACCAATCAGGAATGAACAAGTTATCTCTTCTAGGAGTATAAATTGAAGCACCTTTAGTTAAAGGTAAGTGATTGTATGGAATGTAGCAGACTTTTGCAGAATTGCTTATTTTTTGTTTTTTTGGGGAGTGTTAGTGCCGGGCAAGTACTCTTACATCAGAGCTATATCCTCAGCCCCATATTGCATGTCTTAAAGCAAGCATGCCAAGATTATTTTGTATTCATTAGGAGAGGGTGCTTGGCAAATAGGGTTTACTGTTGGCTTTGATAGTCTGTTTTTACTCCCCTGAGGTCTGATGGGAAGATGAGGGTAAACAGATGAAGTATATAAAGGTTAAGAGATGCTAGTTTTCTTCAGTGACTCTATTAGGTGAGCAGAAGCTTTGTAAATCTAAAGTGGCCAAGAGTATATTTGTACATAAAATAAAGGTTAACACTTTACCAGAGCTGTCAGGTCAAGAAAATGAACTGCTCTCTCAGATATCCTATTTGGACTATTTACTTTTTAAATTTATTTTTAATATGTCTTTAGTTGTTGATGGACCTTTATTTTATTCATTTATTTATATGCGATGCTGAGAATCAAGTGCCTCACACATGCTAGGCAAGTGCTCTACTACTGAGCCACAATCCCAATCCCCTCCCTATTTGGTCTGTTTAATAAAAAAGTTCCTCATACTAAGTATTCTGGATACAGGTAAAGTTTTTTGTAACTTGCTCCTGAGAAAGTATGAGATTTCATTGTTAGTGCCCATAATTTATAGAGGAAGAAACTCTGCCAAATAGGATTTTGACAATAGGTATTAATTTCACAACTTCAGTCATCTTAATATTCATATATTTATCTTAATGTTTTGGTAATAAGGGTTTAAGTAGAGTTTTAGATTTCTTAATTTTTGTCAGTTCATCAGTGTTAAATTGTGGCTCATTGTGGTCTTAAATTGTATGTCTGTAATTAAGTTGAAAATTTAGATAAAACCACTAACAGAAATTTAGGAACTGAATTGGGGCTATCTCTATTTTTAAACAGGTTTGTTTCTTTATAAATAACATGGTTTGGCATATAACCTCCCCAAATAAAGAAGATTTTATTAAAATGTAATTATCCTCCATGGAATTAACATTCACAAATTTCTTTTCAGTTCTGATATAAATGATATTCTCTTAAAGTTTATTGTTTTATTTGCCACCTTCATTAGTTTTTTTCCCTATTGTCTATAATTTCTATATTCATAAGCTTCCAAGTAGTATGTTCTCATTAAAAGCAGTGCTTCTTTTGATAAGCAGAAGTCTTATATTTGAAGAAGGAAGCCAAAGTACAACTATTTCTAGTTTGAGTGAAAAAAGCAAAGAAGAAACTGGAATAAGTTTACAGGTAAATATTAACAGCTCTAATGTTTATATCAATATTTAATCTTATATTTTGATTATTACTTTTTATAGTGATGTCATTTGATTTGAAAACTGAAGTTACTCTTTTAACAGAGCATCATCTATATACATTTATAGTTTGAAGTTCAGGTCTTCAAGTAGACTGACCTGAATTCTAATCCTGACTGTGCCACTTAGTTATAAATTCTTGCACAAATTACTTAACCTTTCTAATCTTGAGTTCCTTTATCTGAAGAATGGAAGCAAAACCATCCAACTTATAGAGTGGGTTTTTACTGTGTATTTTCTGCCATAGCACCCTGTTCAATTTCTGTATATCACTTGCAGTTTATAATTGTTTGTTTATTTTTTCATTGTCACAAAAGCAACAAATTACTTTTTATATATATTTCTTAAAAATCTACTTTCAAATTGACCATGGTGTGTGTCGTTCTCATCCACTTTCTTTGGTCAACTCATTTACAACAACAATTTGAACTTCGCTACCTTGCTTAAAATTTTGATCTTCACTTCTCTGCCTTTGCTTTCAGCTAGCCTCTTACTTATTGGAGAAAATAGTTGGCATAGATAGGAAACCCAGACACATCTACCCTCAAATATTGAAATCTTCCTGCATATGCCCCTTGTCATAACCGTCTGTCTTATTAAACTGGAGAAATAATTTCTCCCTTTATTTAAGGCTAATCTTAATTCCTGTGCTTTTTATTTATCTACTTTTTCTCAAACTTTATTTTTTTAATATGCTGTGTTGCCTCTGAACTATATTCTAAACATTTTCAAACCTCTACTTTTAAAAATTTCTCTCACAAGTACAAAATAACTTCCCTCTTCCTGGTGTGCTTTTTTGGGTATCACTCACTCTCTTCTTTCCCTTCATAACCAAACTTTGTGAAAGAGTTGTCTATATTTGCTGTCTCTAAGTCTGATGGTAACCTTTCAATTCTCTTTACACTTCATACTATCAGTTATGTCTTACATGAAATATGTTCTGTTTACTTTTTCAGTTCACTCTCCTAATTTTTCTCTTTCTTCTCCTTCATCTTTCGTAGTCTCATCCTTTTCCACTGAMTTTTTAGAGTATCTTCTGTATACCAGGCATTGTGCTAGGCTTGGGTATCAAATGTTTCAATTCAGATAACTTGATATAGTATATATTTGAATATCATTTTATTTTTCTTTTATAGGGCAACATTTATAATTGAGAGTTATGTGTTGATAATGATGCAATTTAAGGTTTTCTAAATTTATAAAGTGATTCTTCCCTTCCTGTTTTTGTTGTATTTCTGTTTTAAGGATCTTCTATTAGAAATTTACAGAAGTATAGGAGAGCCAGATAGTCTGTATGGCTGTGGTGGAGGGAAAATGTTGCAACCCCTTACTAGGTAAATCCCATTTTTCTATATAATGGTATAGTAATTCTGTCTGTGAAGGAGTTCTATGTATGTAGAATCAAGATATTTTTACAACCTTTTCTTACAGACTACGAACATATGAACATGAAGCAATGTGGGAGAAAGCCTTAGTAACGTATGACCTTGAGACAGCAATCTCCCCAGTAACTCGCCAGGCAGGAATAATTCAGGTATATTTTTTTCTTGGATTAGTAAAGATGTCACTAGTGCAGTGCTCATAGAATTCCAGTATGTCATTGGAATATTTACATAGTCAGATGAACTTGAGATAAGTTTAGAAGTTACCTGTTTTACAGACGTGGGGCTAAAAACTGAGGAACGCACAGGAAAGCTAGGTAGGTCATTGTCCAAAACAATAGTTTAGGTTTGTCAATCATAATTTTTGTTACCTAACAAAAGACATTTCTTGAGTGTGAATGTTGTGCCAGGTAGTGTAAATTAGTGCCTCACATGGAAAATTCCAAGTGTACTATTATTTCTCATAGTTTGCATTGGAATTGGTTTCATTTCTGAAGCTATCATTTCTATTGTTGGCTAATTAATACTCTTTAGTCATTCTTCCTTTAAATATTAGAACTCCCTGAGTTCAGTTTTAGTGTTTTTGGGGAAACATACTAAACAACATTTTGGGACTGTGATATCGCTAACTATAAACTGAAGTTTTATGTTTGTAAATTTTTGTTTCTCTAGTTTTCTGTTGAGATCTTTCTTTCTTTCTTAAAAAAAAAAAAAAAAAAAAAAAAAAAAAAAAAACTTCTGTTTAGGCCTTGCAGAATTTGGGACTCTGCCATATTCTTTCCATCTACTTAAAAGGGTTAGATCACGAAAATACAGAGTGGTGTGCTGAACTACAGGAACTTCATTACCAAGCAGCATGGAGGAATATGCAGTGGGACCATTACAATTCTTTTAAGTAAGAAGAAATCCAACTTTTAAAAAAAAATTTGCTTGGTTTCTGATTCTAAATAACTTTTATTTTATTCTATCAATATAACAGGAGTTGTATTTTCTATATTTTATAGATTCTCCAAGCTATGCATTCCTAAATAAGATAGTAATAAACAGTAAACAAAATTAGACCTGAATTTCCCTCTTTTTTTCCATTAGCACAACTTCATTCCCCTCCCCAATATTTTCAAAAATAGAAACATCAAAGATATTTTCTTAGGAGAATTCATTAACTCACTTTTTCTTCGACTCAGGAATCCAAGGAAAGGTATAGGTATTTCTCTTTTTACTCCCTGCTATAAACATTTTAGTCATATATTACTTGTATCTGCTGGATGGTATACAAAGGGCCAGTTATCTTTATTTATGAAATTTTTTTATTAAAAGGTGCTAAATCAGTTATCCAGGAACATAATATTTATCACTTGTTTGTCAAGTCACCATATTTTAATTTTATTTATTATTATTATTGATACTGGAGATTGAATCCATGGGCACTTTACCACTGTGCTACATCCCCAGCCCTTTTTTATTTATGTTTTTTAAATTTTGAGACAGAGCCTCACTAAGTAGCTTAGAGGCTTGCTTAGTTGCTGAGGCTGGCCTTGATCTTGTAATCCTTCTGTCTTAGCCTCCTGAGTCACTGAGATTACCGGCATGCACCTCCATACCTAGCACCATATTTTTAAAATTATAAACCAAACAGCTATCTAATAAAGGATTTCACATTTATGTGAAGTGTTTTGATAACATAAACACTAAAAATGAAACAATGTGTAATTGCCTTCATAGAAAATATTTTCATTAATTAGAATGCCTTTCAGATTTCAAACTACAAGATTACTATATTATAGGGATTGGCTCTCAAATTTTTTAGACATTTGGTATATATAAGTTGGTCCTGCTTCTGTCAGTATATGTCACTCTCTTGTTTACTGTTTTTCAGCCATAGAGGTCTTCTCTTTGTTTTTTGATCAGTCCATGATGTTCTTACAGAAAGGCGTTAGATGTATATATTCTGCTTTTCTCCATGTGGGTGGCAGTCTCTTGTCATTCAGTCTCTGGTTTCATATATTTATTTCATATCTTCAGATAGACCTTTTGTTGACTACTCTTCCTAAAGTAGCCACTCCATCATAATGTTTTTTTTTTAATTTATCCTCTGCTTATCCTCTGTCACTGTCTGATATTATTCTTACTTATTGTTCAAACTAAAACAAGCTCCATGGGAGTGGGCCCTGATCTGACTTGTCTGCTAATGATTTCCCACTCTAGAACCTGTTCTTAATGCCTGACACATAAAAGGTGTTCACTGAATAAATAAATGAAAATATAGCATATTTTGAACCAGGCAAAGGATCTGAGAAATTTTCAGTTTTTTCTGCTTGAAGAATTTAAATGACCCATAAAATAATTAGTGTTTCTTAACAAAATTTCTAGAAATCCGTTTTTTCGTTTAAAAAAAAAGTTAATTTCAGTTTTAAAATTTAGTTCTTTGAGTTATTTGTACATGAATATCTTTAGGCTTTGTTTTTAAATATGTATTTTTCTTTTATTTTTTGAATTATCTCACAGCAAAGGATTAGAAGGAACCAGTTACCATGAATCATTGTACAATGCTCTGCAGTCTCTGAAAGACAGAGAATTCTCCACATTTTATGAAAGTCTCAAATATGCCAGGTATTACAAAAAGGCAAATAATTTTCTGTTTATTTAATGTCATGGCTTCTTTTTTCCAAATTTAAGTAATAATTTCAGTGTGAGGATTTGCATTGTTGTAGGGATAAAGACTTGGTGGCTAGGTGAAGTGTTTCCTTGTCCTTCTGTGTTCTTCCCTCAAAAAAAATGTTTTCTTTGGGACCCTATGTCAGTTCTTTACCCTAATCTCTCAAGAAACACTCTTAATTCCTACTCCTTCCTCTAGTATCCTGAGAATTTAAATTTTATCTCCTCAAATATTATGTGGCATTTACTYTCTTAGCATTAGAGTTCAAATGTAACTTTTTTTGTTTAATAGTGATTAGCAACCTAATAAATCCTGCATTACAGCAATAATATTTGCTGTCATTTAGGTTCTTATCATGTGCTTGAACAGGCTCTCCTAAGGCATTCTCTAATCTTCAAAATTAGTATGGAAATGAAAAAAAAATTAGGCTTAGTGAAATCCAGTGGTTTGTCCTAAGTTAGACAGCCAAAGGTGATACAACTGGGATTTAAGATTTAGGGCTATATTATCCCAAGGCCAATTTTTTTCCTTTGCTATTTCATATTCTCTAATGTTTGTGAATATTAGTATTATTAGATTAATAGCAAGATTGTGATAAGATCTCTATAAATTCAGATTTGTACTTATATCTCCTTGAAAACCTCTTCTTATTTTTTTTTTTTTTTGGATTTTTTGGTTTTGATACTGGGGATTGAACCCAGAGGTATTTATTTCTAAGCTACATCCCTAATCCTTTTTATTTTTCTTGTAAGACAGGATCCTGCTTAGTTGCCCAGGCTGGTCTCAAACGTGCAATCCTGCCTCAGCCACTCAGGTCACTAGGACTATATGCCTGCACCATTGTGTCCAGCCTCTTCTTTGTTTTCAAAGTTTGTTTCTTTTCTCTTTTGCTATTAGAATAAAAGAAGTGGAAGAGTTGTGTAAGGGCAGTCTTGAGTCTGTGTATTCACTGTACCCCACACTTAGTAGATTGCAGGCCATTGGAGAGTTAGAAAACATTGGAGTGCTTTTCTCAAGGTATGTAATTAATATGATTTTGTAATTCCAGAATGAAGCTTCTCTGTTACTGACTTACCCTTTTTTGAAGTAAATTAATACATTTTCCCTATTTTACTTTCTAATATGGTAAATATCAATAGATATGTCAAAATTTTAAGCTCTTTGGGGTCTTCAATAATTTTTAAGAATGCAAAGTGATTCCTGAGACTGAAATGATTGAGCTCTTACACTTTGGGGGAAGATTTGCTTCCTATGAATTTGTATTACTCCTTCCTTCTCTACCACACCACTGAAAAAAACTTTCATTTCCTAGTCATTTTCTCATTGTCTTAGTCTACCTGCTTCATCTTTTTTCTCAGTATAGTAGTCAAGTTAGATACTATTTACTTTAAGCATCTGAGAAGCAAGCATACTGTTCACATATATGAATTATACAGTATGCATTTTCTATTCCTTTAATAAATGTTAGCAGATGAAATCTCTGCCAGATGCCAACTTCTGCTTTACTGAATTGTGATTTCTTTGACAACTGCAATTAGGCACAGTCATCCTCCAAAGGTAATTAATGAGTTTACTTTATTTCCTGGCAGATTCGTCCTCCTTTACCACAAAGAGCATGGAAGCAAGACTAGAGATGTAGGAATTCTTTATGATAGATCTGATGAATATGTTCCCATTTTAGAAGAGTTTTTATTTAAAAGGTCTACTTTCTATTATTTCAAAGAGCATTTTAAGAAAATCTTTAAAAATATTTATTACCTGTTACTTCTCTGCCAACCTCTTAGGGGTCTGAACACATACCATTTTGTAGTCTTTTAAAACTTTGTCCTTATTTCGGATTATTTATAAGTTCTAAACTTGTTATTACACAAATTCCTTTGTAATGTATATTACATTTTAGAACCTCATAATTTTTTTTCATTTCTTTTGCTTATATTAACTCTCTGATTTGGCTTTCAGATCACTCACAGATAGACAAATCTCTGAATTGTATATTAAGTGGCGTAAACACTCCCAGATAATTAAGGACAGTGATTTTAGCTTTCAGGAGCCTATCATGGCTCTACGCACTGTTATTTTAGAGATCCTGATGGAAAAACAAGTGGAGCTCTCTCAAAGAGAGTGCTTTAAGGACATTCTCACCAAACACCTTATAGAATTCTCTGTTCTGGCCAGAACTTTCAAGAACACTCAGGTAAATAGGATTTAAAATTATATCATCTCACCTCTTGGCCTTTCCTTTTATTATATAACAAAAAGCATGTGTTAATTAAGAAATTGAGAAATAGAGATCAATGTTAGATAGTGTAGTATAATTGTTAAGATTTCCTGTGTTAGGCAAACTTGAGTTTAAGCCTTGAACAAGGCAATTACCTTCTTTCAGCCACAAATTCTTGGTTAAATAAAGAGAATATACCTAACTTACTATATTGATAACAATTCAGTGATTTGACATGCATGCACATTTGTAAATATGAAGAGAGAGAGATGAAGGGTAGAAGTTGGAAGGCAAGCAGAGAGGTACTTTAAGACAGTCCCTGACAAATAGTCACATTTTCATTGAATGGTAGTTACTGCCTTTATTATTATTAGTGGTAATAGTAGTAAAAGTATTTTTATTATTATTTGCCATTTTCATTTCAGCTACCTGAAAGGGCAATATTTCAAATCAAACAGTATAATTCATCTGTTTGTGGTGTCTCTGAGTGGCAACTAGAAGAAGCACAAGTATTCTGGGCAAAAAAGGAACAGAGTCTTGCCCTGAATATTCTCAAGCAGATGATTAAAAAGTTGGATGCCAACTGCACAGAGGTTTTTTCTTTTGTTTTTATTTACTGAAATGATGTTATGTTGTTATGAAAAAAAAACACTGCTATTCTTTAAAATATTTTAGTGGCAATTTTATTAAAAATTGGAAATTACTCATCCATGAGTAAGACGTGATGTTTTGAAAAGGAGTCTGAGAAGTTTAGAAACCATTTTTCCTATTTACAAGTCAGTGAGTCCCACTTGTGATAGATTCATTGAATTTATCTCAGCATTAAGTCTGACTTTCAAAAGAATTCAAGAATGGTATATAGGCTGGGCATGATGCCATAGGCCTATAATCCCAGCAGCTTGGGAGGCTGAGGCAGGAGGATTTCGAGTTCAAAGCCAGCCTCAGTAATTTAGTGAGGCCTTAAGCAACTCAATGAGACCCTGTCTCTAAATAAAATACAAAAATGGGGTTGTGGCTCAGTGGTTAATTGCCCCCTGGTTCAATCCCTGGTACCAAAAAAAAAARGGAGGGGGGAATAAACATAAAATACTTGCTGTAAATTTGAAAGAACAAGTATAGGGAGGGGTGCTGGGGATTGAACCCAGGACCTTAGGCATGTGAGGCAAGCACTCTACCAACTGAGCTATATCTCCAGCCCCAGAAATGGAAATTCTTATGAAAACAAAAATATTTAAAAACTAAAGCAAGTTGGCTAGGGTTGTGGCTCAGTGGTAGAGCACTTGCCTGGCATCTGGGAAGGAAGGAAGGAGGGAGGGAGGGAAAGAAAGATTGTGCCCATCTGCAACTAAAAAAAATTTTTTAATTAATAAAGCAAGTTGGAACAGTTAGTTTGTCAATCCAGATGCTTTGAAATTATCACATCTGATATTTTATTTAACATAACCTGTTGGTTATTGCAAACATGTTTTTACTAATTTTGTTCTATTTCCAGCATATGACGAACAAAGGGGGGTGCATTTATAGGAATCATTAATTTTTCAAAGATTTAACTTACCATTACCATGGTATTCCTCAGACCTGCTTAGTGATTCTCAGCCTACTGGACTTTTGGATGTTGGATGTTTGTGGGACATATCCTCCATTATTAGGGAATATATCATTATAACAAAGCATTGGATGTCAGTATGATGTATTAATTATTGCGTAACACTACAGGCCCTGAAGTAAAGGCTGTCTGTAGTTAGCTACTTTCTTTGTACCTCAGTTTCCTTACCTGTAAATTGGGGATAATAATAATATTCAGTTCATAGGATTCCTGTGAGGATTGAGTTAATATACATAAACTTGTTACAGATTGCCGGGCATATMTAAGTACCCAATAAATTTTAGTTTCTTCAATGATAGTAATAATAACTTTAAAGTACAGATTGATTACTTTGTAAATTTACATACTTGGAATTATGAAAATAATTGTATGGTGAAAGCAGACAAGGAGAAATATTTTTAATGTGTTTTTTCTCCCTACATGGAGGACATTTTTATATACTTATGATAATGAATTACATTTTACTATTTATTTTCTTTCACAGAATGATCCCAACCTAAAACTTATATACACAGAATGTCTGAGGGTTTGTGGCAACTGGTTGGCAGAAACTTGCCTAGAAAATCCTGCAGTCATCATGCAGACCTACTTAGAAAAGGTAAGCTTTTGGAGCAACTCTTTAAGACTGTTGTTGATCATGAATACATTTGATCTTTTATCAAGAACAATTGTCTTTCAAAAGCAAAAGAATGGATTTTAAGTATTACATGAAAAACATGATGTGATTATCTTTAAATTTTAAAGAGCTTTTTGTTTTTGCACAATTCTTTACAAATTCAGTTGTTGTAGTTATTTCTACACTATCAGAAGTTGTTCTGAAAATCAAGAAAATACATTATTAATTTAGCTAAATTAAATGTATTCAATATTATATATTTACATATATATGTATATATACATAAAAATTATGTATTTAATGTGGGATTACCTTGATCTGAGTGATTATTTAAATGCTTATAGTATTTGTAAATATGTTTAAATGGATTGTATATTTTTGAAGGCAGTAGAAGTTGCTGGAAGTTATGATGGAGAAAGTAATGAAGAGCTCAGAAATGGAAAAATGAAGGCATTTCTCTCATTAGCACGATTCTCTGATACTCAATACCAAAGAATTGAAAACTACATGAAATCATCAGAATTTGAAAACAAGCAAGCTCTCTTGAAAAGGGCCAAAGAAGAAGTGGGCCTCTTAAGGGAACATAAAATTCAGACCAACAGGTAAATATGTGCCTACAAGTGATGATTTTGTGTTCACCAGCCGAGTAAACTGAACTTGTTTGTGTAAAAAAAAATTTGAATTTTTTTTTTTTTTTTTTTTTTTTTGAGAACTAAAGTTTAGTTTGCTTACTTATAGACTATCATGGCCCTACAGTGGTTAATCACAAATTAGTATGCAGTACACTGTTACATATTCTTTTATTAAGACTTTCTATCTTAGTTCTAAGGTTCTTGTAGAACATATAAATGTTAACTTTTGGATTTTTTTTGTTATAGTTGGAAAAAGAGATTTGTGTTGAAATTAAAAAACTTACCTGTTTTAATGTAATTAAATATCTTTATTTAAACCTGCCTTGAGTCTGTGTATTTTAGTATAAATAGAGGATCAAGCTAACTAAATAGCTTGAGTCCACTTTTTCCTTGGTTGCCTAGAAAGCTTATGAATTGTACCATTATGACAGAAGTAATTTTTTCCCTTTATCTTTAGAAATATGCTTTTTCTCCTGGAATGAATATCTATTTATCTATCTATCTATMTATMTATATATAKAGAGAGAGAGAGAGAGAGAAATCACATATATTTTTTTTTTAGTTCTGTGAAATTTTATGGCTTTGTGTTTTACTTTAATTGTCCAAGATACACAGTAAAGGTTCAGAGAGAGCTGGAGCTGGATGAATGTGCGCTCCGTGCATTGAAAGAGGATCGTAAACGCTTCTTATGTAAAGCAGTTGAAAATTACATCAACTGTTTATTAAGTGGAGAAGAACATGATATGTGGGTATTCCGACTTTGTTCACTTTGGCTTGAAAATTCTGGAGTTTCTGAAGTCAATGGCATGATGAAGGTAAATCTTGTTCAATTCAACATTCAGGCTTGTGTTTTAAAAGGTACTTGATAAATTCCAAGTAATACAGGATTGTATGGAAGTCAGAGAATTTGTGTCAGTGTTTTCCCGCATCTACAGTTACCATAGGAGAATACCTAAAATGGAGAACTAGATTGGGGAATTTGGAAAGCAGTTAAGAAATTATATGATCACAAGTAGATTTTAATTTTATCTTTGGGGGATTATTTTCAAAAATGAATTACTTTTCCAATTGGAAAAACAATATTTTTAAAGAAAACAACAAGAAATCGTACTTGTTTAGTTTTTATTTAAAAACCTCATATTTTAGTGATGATACCTAATATTAAAGATATGATGCCAAAATGTGTATGTTTGTTAACTTGAAGGTTAATAGTAAAAATGATTCTCCTAGACAAAAAAGTGATAAGACTTATAATAGATTCAACTAGTCTCTSCTGTAGTGCACACTAAATTCTGTTACTTTTGGTATATAGAGAAAAATAATTATTCTGTTTATTGCATTCCAGTTTCTCAGGAGTCAAGATCACAATAGTGCTCAGATCCACATTATCCTCCTCAGAGTCACTGGAATGTAAACAGTGCCAACACTCCTTTTCTGAGTACAATTTAACGTAGGACCAAATGTTTTTACTTATGAATTATTTATATCCATTAGAAAGACTTGCAGAAAGCATAAGTGACAAAGAAGAAAATGTAGTTAGCAATGTTTTATTAACAATCATTAGGTCATTCTAGTAGAAGAACTTTATTTTAGAATAATTTCTTTGCTTAGATATGAGAATATTTGAAATTTCTTCCTTAATTTGTAGAGAGATGGAATGAAGATTTCATCATATAAATTTTTGCCTCTTATGTACCAATTGGCTGCTAGAATGGGGACCAAAATGATGGGAGGCCTAGGATTTCATGAAGTCCTCAATAATGTAAGTAGACCTGAACATCAAAACACAATAATTGCTTTCTTGTATATTACTATATACTATGTAAAGTGTATATTACTATTCCTCTCTAGGAAATGAAAATACAAATTTTAGTATTTTACAGAGGCTGTTATTCAGTCTCTCTCTTCATGTACCTCTCTGGTGCTTTCACACTCAGACATCCATCCATTGCCATGTATAGACAGTAACATGCCTTTTGATAGTTTAAAAAAAAAAAAAAAAAGTGGACTTCCTGCTTTTTTTTTTAATTTGTGCAAAACTAATAGTTCTTAATTTTCTGACAGCTCATCTCTAGGATTTCAATGGATCACCCCCATCATACTTTGTTTATTATATTGGCCTTAGCAAATGCAAACAAAGATGAATTTTTGACCAAACCAGAGACAACAAGAAGGAGTCGAGTAACTAAAAATGCACCTAAACAAAGCTCTCAGCTTGATGAGGTATTTCATTTGTAATATTCATTTTTTCCCAGATTATTTCTTTCCTAAGTGTTGGGGATTTTAAGAACTCATGTTGTTGATAGTATTTGGTTTTTAAATCTTTGGTTATTATGATAGAATTAGTTCAGAATTTCTGAATATTTTTCAAAGTATAGATAGCAGTTTTTTTTCTTCACAGCAGTGAAAAATAGGTTTTTGAAAGTTACCAAATATTAACACTTGAGATAATAATACTTTCCTTGTATTTCATTCATATGGTGACTGTTTTGTCTGTCTCTGATGACTTAGTTTTTCCATAATCAAGATAATCAAGATCTGTGCATAAATTTTGTTTTTCTCATTGTTTTTTTAATTCACTGTTCTTCGTTAATAGGATCGAACAGAGGCTGCAAACAAAATAATATGTACTATCAGAAGTAAGAGACCTCAGATGATCAAGAATATTGAGGCACTTTGTGATGCTTATATTATATTAGCAAACTTAGATGCCACTCAGTGGAAAACTCAGAGAAGTATGTTTGAAAGAATTAGTGTTGCTGCTCCTGTTTGACCTACACTGTTGTTCCTCAGTTTGCAGTTGTCACTAAAATCTCTTTATTTTTAAATACAGAAGGCATCAATATTCCAGCAGACCAACCAATTACCAAACTTAAGAATTTAGAAGATGTTATTGTTCCTACTATGGAAATTAAGGTAATTTACCATTAATTCTTGATTTTTTAAATTAAGCTACTTTATTAGATTGAACCTAATTAAAATAATATTTTTGTATCTTCAAAAGTGGTTATATATTGAAAATTTTGTGGTTCACCCTAGAGATTGCATTGGATTGCATTTAGATTCCCTTTGCTGAAGTCTTAAAATAAACAACGGCTTCTACTTCCTTTTCCTTTTCCTTCTGTTTTACACCTTTTGCCTTCTATTTTACACCTTTTGCCTTCTGTTTTACATCTTTTGAAGGTCTGTAGCTGCTATCTTCACTGGCCAGAAGGACAATTTTCATGTGCTTAAACCAAGACTAATTTTTTACTTAGAAAGAAAATTCCCCATTGTTTTTCTTTTAATTTTTTTTAAAAGATTTGGTATTTGATGGACTTTATCAGCTGTGATTAAGTATTGCAATATGTATTAAACTATGTGATCATGATACATCTAGGTATGTCATAATTATCTTTTTTTGCTAGACGCACCATGTTGACAGGGATATGTGTAATAATAAAGGTTACAGTTTAGAAAATGATCATGTTTAGTACATTGTAAATCTCTCCATTGAATTTGCACTTCAGTGCTTAGTACAGATTATCACTAAATTTGAACTATAGCTACATCATGTGGATTAACTGATATCTTTCCAGCTATATCATCTAAGTTAGTTAGCTGAATATATCCTGAAAAATACCAGATTTAATCACTGTCATCAAGAAAAATCCTTGCCACCCTTTTCAAAATGTACATGTTGTAAGGAATTTTGTTATTTCTTAGATGACTTAACATATGTACATAACAACACTTGGGTTCTGATTTTTCAGCAACTCTTTTCTAACTTGATGTGCCTTAGTTTTATTAAAAGTATTTAGGAAAATAAATTTAATGTTATATATAATTTTTTAAAACTTTCCAATGTAATATGTTCTTTCATTAAACAGAAAGTAAAGTTATAGTTCTCAACCAACAGCACAGTGTCACTCGTTCCTTTTTAATCTTAAAATTACCATTTATAATTTATTTATGTTTAAATGCAAATAATGTATCTGACTTGTTTTCATAATTTTATACTTTAAATTAGGTGGATCCCACTGGAGAATATGGAAATCTAGTGACTGTTCAGTCATTTAAAACAGAATTTCGTTTAGCAGGAGGTTTAAATTTACCAAAAATAATAGATTGTGTAGGCTCTGATGGCAAGGAAAGGAGACAGCTTGTCAAGGTAAGAGTTCCCTTTGGATTGTAACCTTTAGAGTATTAATGACATCAACATTTAAAAAAAAAACAAAAAACCTCATTGGTATCATTTCTGCTTTATTTTTTGAATATATTTTTTAATTGTAGTTGGACACAAAACTTTTATTTATTTATTTTTATGTGGTGCCAAGGATCAAACCCAGGGCCTCACCCATGCAAGGCAAGTGCTGTACTGCTGAGCCACAACCCCACCCTTTTCTGCTTTATGTTAAATATTTATTTTGAATAATTACAAGTGAGAAAAACTTGTGAAATAAAAATGCACTATTTTTTAGAACCACAATGTGCTTTCTATTTTTTAAGTCTCTGAAAGACTATCATTATTACACAGTTGATTCAAGTAAAAGACTATACTTGTTAACATGCACAGACACAATGAGGTGAACAATTAACTTGTTTGTTGTGAAAAAATCTTTTGGTAGTTGTGGCTTATTTCCATGATTAGGACAAGTTAAAGACCTTTGCCTCAGTATACTGGGCTTGGCACTGTGCCCGATGCAGTTGCACCAGAAAGGTACAACAGTATTCCTCCTTTTGTGTTTACTCAGGGGTTCTTTGGTCCCTGCTGGAGAACAGTGAAGAGATAAGTACTCCTCCACTTAGGTATTTTGCAGTGTGCCCACAGGTGGGGAAATTCAGTTAGTTTGATTACAAAATAAATTAGGGGAAACTTCTTTTTCTTATCAGTCTGCTTCCTCATTGTTAGCTTATTCTAAATGAAAGATTTACGGTAGGTCTTAATTATTTAAGAGAGTGCTGGTGATCAGATTGACTTTTGAGTATATTTTTGTATCCTCAGATGACTTTTGTGTAGGTTTTGTAATAAAATGCACTGTGCTTATTTATTTATGTTTGATTATTCTGAAGGGCCGTGATGACCTGAGACAAGATGCTGTCATGCAGCAGGTTTTCCAGATGTGTAATACATTACTGCAGAGAAACACTGAAACTAGGAAGAGGAAATTGACTATCTGTACATATAAGGTAACTAGTTGGTATTCTGTTGCTTCCCCAAGAAAATATGATTTTCTTTGGACAAAGAATCAGCAGATGTTTCTTTTTGTTGTGGTTTTTTTAATTTAAATAATTATTTATATATGACATTGGAATGCATTATAATTCTTATTACACATATAGAGCACAGTTTTTCATGTCTCTGGTTGTATACAAAGTATATTCACACCAATTCATGTCTTCATACATGTACTTTAGATAATAATGTCCATCACATTCCACCATTATGTCTAACGCCATGCCCTCTCCTTTCTCCTCCCACCCCTCTGCCCTATCTAGAGTTCATCTATTCCTCTCATGATGCAGGGTCTCTGGTTTTATTCCCTACTATAAATCACCCTCCGTACATCAGAGAAAACATTGGGCATTTTGTTTTTTGGGATTGACTAACTTCATGTCTTCATCTTCTCTAACTCCATCCATTTACCTGCAAATGCCATGATTTTATTATCTTTTATTGCTGAGTAATATTCCATTGTGTATATATACCACGTTTTTAATCCATTCATCTGTTGAAGGGCATCTATGTTGGTTCCACAGTTTAGCTATTATGAATCGTGCTGTTATAAATATTGATATGGCTGTGTCTCTGTAGTATGCTGTTTTAAAGTCATTTGGGTATAGACTGAGGAGAGAGACAGCTGGGTCAAATGGTGGTTCCATTCCCAATTTTCCAAGAAATCTCCATACTGCTTTTCATATTGGCTGCACCAATTTGCAGTCTCCTACCAGCAATGTATGAATGTACCTTTTTCCCCACATCCTTGCCAACACTTATTGTTGTTTATATTCTTAATAGCTGCCATTCTGACTGGAGATGAAATCTTAGAGTAGTTTCAATTTGCATTTCTCTAATTGCTAGCAATGAAGAATATTTTTTATATATTTGTTGATTGATTGTATATCATATTCTGAGAAGTATCTCTTTAGGTCCTTGGCCCATTTATTGATTGGTTTATTTGGGTTTTTTTGGTGTTTAACTTTTTGAGTTCTTTATATAGCCCAGAGATTAGGGCTCTGTCTGATGTATGAGGGATAAAGATTTGCTCCCAAGATGTATTCATCTCACAGATTGTTTCTTTTGCTGAGAAGATATGTTTTAGTTTGATTCCATCCCATTTATTGATCCTTGATTTTAATTCTTACACCACAGGAGTCTTATTAAGGAAGTTGGGGCCTAATCCCACATGATGGAGATTAGGGCCTAGTTTTCTTCTATTAGATGTAAGGTCTCTGGTTTTATTCCTAAGTCCTTGATCGATTTTGAGCTGAGCCTTGTGCATGGTGAGAGATAGTGGTTTAATTTCATTTTGCTGCATGTGGATTTCCAGTTTTCCCAGCTAGATCTGTTGTAATTTTATACATTTGGTGTCCTGTAAGCCTCTGGTATTTGATTTTTCAATTCATTCTGCATGTTTGGAAATTTTTCTGATACTATTTCATTGAAGAGATTGTATATTCCTTTGCTTTGTTTCTCTGTRTGTTCATGTTATCCTATAATTATTGGAGGTTTTGTTTTTGGTTTCTTACAGTCTTCACTGTGTGGTCAACTTTATTTTCATGATTGTATGTTTTGTCTTCAATGTTTGAGGCTCTGTCTTCCAAGTGATCTAGTCTATTGGTGATGCTTTCTATTGAATTTTTATTTTGGTTTGTTGTTTTCTTCATTTCAAGAATTTCTGTTTGGTTTATTTTCAGAATCTCTCTTTCTTTCTTGCAGTAATCTTTTGCTACCTATATTTGCTCTCTTTGTTGGAGTGATCAGTTGTTGCCTGTATTTGCTCTCTTATCCCTTTGTTGAAGTAATCAATTGTCACCTGTATTTGCTCTCTTATGTCATTGTTTGATTTGAAGATCATTTTAATAATGTACATTCTGAACTCCTCCTCTTGACATTTCATCTACTGTGCTGGCAATGGATTCTATTATTGTAACATCTTAGTTTGTTTGGGGCACTTTCTTCCCTTGTCTTTTCATGCTTTCTCTGTGTCTTCCCCTATAGCTATGGGAATCCAAGGTATTATAGTTTCTATCCTATAATCTTGTGGTGTCCCAGCAGGTTTCTGGTGCCTTGCCTTTAAAAAGGAGATCACTATTAATAGCACCCAATACAAACAATATACACCTTTAAACCAAATAGTTCCTGTTTAGACAATTACAGTTTTGTCACAATAAACAGAAATGATGTGTTCAGTTAATACCTGCACTATAAAGCAGGTTTGCAAAAGGGTCTAAAGTTTCTACTGGTAGACAAAGAGAGAACTATAGAACACTAAAGAGAGACATTTAAAAAGACCATAGAAGATGGAAAATCTCCGATGTCCTAGGATAGGAAGAGTTAATATAGTCAAAATGGCCATACTACCAAAAGTGTTATACAGATTTCATGCAATTCCAGTTAAAATCCCAACAAAATTCCTTATAGAAATAGAAAAGGCAATCATGAAATTCATTTGGAAAAAATAAAAGACTCAGAATAGCCAAAGCAATTAAATAACACATGGATAGCAGAAGATACCAGGGTGGAGATAAAAAAAAATTCTTAGAGAAGTACTTGAGCACACAAACTGCTCTGTAATGAAATCATTAAACTGGATGAAGCTAATTTCTGAGGTACTTTCTAACCTACCACCTAAGCCAGCAAGCAGAAGTCAATAAACTTTTATGGAGTTCTGTAACCAAGCCATTCCTAGGAGCTAAATTACCAAAGCCCATTATAAGGTGTGCTTGACCAGCAAAACCTGAACTGACATTTGCTGCACAAGAAAAATAAAGTTAGCAAATGGGCCCTTAAATTTTCTGCTAAATCCATAGGCTTATATGTCATCTGAGAAGAGCCATACTTATGTATGAATTGGAAAGAAAATTGTATCCTGCTTTGAACAATTAACAYGAAGTCAAGCCATTCAAGCAAAGTTCAAAAAGCTAGCACTGTGAATGTTTAGAACTGTGCATAGTTTTGACAAGCTGTGGTGCACAGATACTTGAGTAGGCTGCTAGATTGACAGCACAGGGAGGGCAGATCTTTTATCTGTGCTTCAACAGTTGGTTCCCAGCATATGTTGTGGGCCTCACAGGCAATGTTACCAAAATATTTTTGAAGGAATGTCTTAGTGTTCATCAAAAAGGCACAGATGAAAAGGTGAGCTTTATGTCCTCAAATGCTTAGTTTCATTACCAGTTACCAATGAGTACTTCATTCTTAACCCTTTGATCTCTCTCTATTACATAGATCAAAAGGAGCAAAATGTGATGTAGGTTGCCTCTGCTCTTCACTGTCCTGCACCCTATTTTTCCTGTACTGAGAATCTGGTAATGATCTCTCAACCTCTGGCCCATTCATGAGTCTTGGTGTCCCTACATTCCATGGGTTTCTTTGAGTAAGGTCATAGCAGTCTGGTACTAAAAAAAAAAAAAAAAAAAAAAAAAAAAAAAAAAATTCTTAGAGGTAAATGAGAATTCCGATACAACATACCAAAAATCTTTGGGACACTATGAAGGCAATGCTAAGAGGAAAGTTCATTGCATTGAGCTCATTCATTAAAAGAAGGTAAAAGTTAACAAATAAATGACCTGACATTACATCTCAAAGACCTAGAAAAAGAACAAATCAACACCGAAAGTAGTAGAGGACAGGAAATAATTAAAATCAGAGCTGAGGGGCTGGGGCTGTGGCTCAGTGAAAGAGTGCTTGCCTGGCATGTGTGAGGCACTGCATTTGATCCTCAGAACCACATAAATATAAAATAAAAGTATTGTGCCCACCTACAACTAAAGAAATATATATGTAAAAATCGGAGCTGAAATCAATGAAATTGAAACAAAAGAAACAATTGAAAAAATTGACAAAAAGGTGGTTCTTTGAAAAAATAAATAAAATTGATAAACCCTTAGCCACCCTAATGAAAAGGAGAGCAAGAACTCAAATTACTAAAATTCGTGATTAAAAAGGAAATATCATGACAGATACCATTGAAATACAGAAGATAATTAGAAACTATTTTGAAAATTTATATTCCAATAAAATAGAAAATATTAAAGACAAATTTCTAGAGAAATATGATCTACCCAAACCAAATCAGGAGGACATAAACAATTTAAACAGATCCATTTCAAGCAGTGAAATAGAAAACTCCGTCAAAAGTCTGCCAACCAAGAAAAGCCCAAGACCAGACAGATTCTCAGCCAAGTTCTACAAGACCTTCAAAGAAGAATTAATACCAATACTCCTCAAATTATTCATGCAATAGAAAAGGAGGGAACCCTTCCAAACTCATTCTATGGAACTAGTATCACCCTGATGCCAAAACCAGACAAAGACAGATCAAGGAAAGAAAACGTCAGGCCAGTATTCCTAATGAACTGAGACATAAAAATTCTCAATGAAATTCTGGCAATTCGCACACAAAAACATATTAAAAAGATAGGATGAACCCCCTAGGGATGCAAAGTTGGTTCCATATACAAAATCAATGAAATGAATTCATCACATCAATAGACTTAAAAATCATACGATCATCTCAATAGATACCGAAAAGACATTTGATAAAATACATACCTTTTCATGTTCAGAACACTAGAAAAACTAGGGATAGTAGGAACATACCTCAACATTGTAAAAGCTACTAAGCTCAAGGCCAGCATTATTCTAAATGGAGAAAAATTGGAGGTATTCCTTCTAAGAACTCAAACAAGACAGGGATGCCCTCTTTCACAACTCCTATTTAATATAGTCCTTGAAACTCTAGTYAGAACAACTAGACAAAAGAAATTAAAGGGATACGGATGGGAAAAGAAGAACTCAAACTATCACTATTTGCTGATGACATAATTCTATGTTTAGAAGGTCCAAAAAATCTCCACCAGAAAACTTTGAGAATTAATAAATGAATTCAGCAAAGTAACAGGATATAAAATCAACACCCATAAATAAAATGCATTTCTATACATCAGTGATGAACCCTCAGAGA